CGTCCAAAATATATCTAACCCTTGCCAATATCGATATATTTTTTGCTATTTTGTTCTGAACATACCTGATATGCGATTTCCAGGAGAATTTGTCATCAACTATGACACCTAGAAATTTAATTTCATATACTCGTTCTATATTAGCTCCCCCAATATTCAATTGAAGTTCATTGTCTAATCTGCGATTCCCAAATACCATAAATTTAGTTTTATACAAATTTCAAATACAGATTCAGAGATACTATATTACTGTCGTCTCCAGCTGTGGTAGAAGTATTCAGGACATACACTTACATAAAAGTAACAACACCACCATATAAAAATACTGCATTACCAGTAGAAGTCCTGAGAATTTTACTTAATTATAAGCAGTGGTGAAAGAAGTACTCAGATACTTTATGTAAGTATAAGAAGCAATACCACAGTGTAAAAATGCTCTGTTACAAGTAAAAATCCTGCATTCAAAATGTTACTTAAATAAAAGTCCAAAGTATTAGCATCAAAACATACTTAGAGTAATAAAAGTTAAAGTACTTTTTATGAAGAATGGCACGTTTAACACTATCATATCACTGAATTGTAACTACGGATGCTTTATTGTGTACATCACATTTAATGTTGCAGCTGGTAAAGGAGGTGCTAGTTTTAATTTGAAGTACTTTACATCCTGTTGAGTAGCATGTGAATTTTCCACCAGAGATCAGTAAAGTCTTACAATTATACTGTAATTTTTGTTGATCTGGTTTTGAAAAGTAACTAGTAACTAAAGTTATAAAATCTCTGTAGTGGAGTAAAAAGTAAAGTACTCTATTTGTAGTGAAGTCAAAAGTATGATGTAGCACAAAATGAAAATAGTAAGAAGTACAGAAACCTCAAAATTGTACTTACATGCAGAACCTGAGTAAATGTACTTAGTTACTTTCTACCATTGATTATAATAACAGAAATATTATAAACACATTTTAGGCTACTTAATATATTTTCAAAAAAGCACTTATTATACAGAATGGGCCTTTCACTGTCAGATTACTGTACTATTGTTACTGTTGATGTGCTAACATTTAAACAATAATTAACTCTTGTAAGTAGAGTTTTTTTTAGCTGATTTTTAATGTATTTTTTCTTACATACCCTCAATAATGCAGT